AACCTGAGCCACACTGAACTAGCACAGTCTACCTGGCGCTGATCTTGAAGGATCATATCAGGGCCGTATAGACAGGAGGCGTCGGTCTGGAGAACCACTGGTAGGGGACGAGTCGAAGGTGCCAGACTGAGTGGTAGCAACACCTTCTAACATTCCTGAACGCCTTGGTCGTGGTCAGGAGTCCAGAGAAAAGCGCTTGGGACTCATGAGGGGCCAGTGAGGTTGGCCAGCGATTTTAGAGAGAAGTCGGCCAGCTGATTTGCAGCCCATAAATGAGCGAAGAGTCGGTCCAAGATTCGCTGGAGTAAAGTCCCTGATGGCCAGCCTTCTCCTCATCAGCTGAGATCCTCTGGCAGATGTTAGCGCCGCAAGTAGTTAACGGGGGGCGGCGACCTAGGTATCTTTGTTCGGGTGATACCATGGGCGACATCTTGTGAGCATAAGGAACTCGGTTCAAGTGGGCGGAGATCATCGTCGAAAAACAGAGATGTCGCTTCGACCTTCACGCAGTTGGTGACACCCTGCAGAGCCATATCTACCGGGCAATACGCATCCCCGTTGCTGCAACCCATGGGTCGCGGCAGTGTTTGGAAGCAGCCGTGGAGGCGTGATAACGGTAGTGGCGATCTTCTTCCGCCAGAGTCGACGCCAGTACCCATGCAGTGCATCGCCGTGGTAAACTCTGCAAGCGAGGTGGCGCTGCGGACTGGATGAGGCAGGAGCGGAAAACCTGCGAGTTGAGATGGTGAGGGTCCACTGTGATGCGAACACCTACGAACAGGTGCCAAGACCATAGGGTGGCACCACTCGGAAGGCTCTCACCGGCGTGTCTGATGATCCCCTGCTGCCAGAGAATCGAGCTCCCTTCACCTTGTCCCGTATGGCAAGGGGATAAGCCTGGGTGTGTGGATGGCAGGCGTCGCGCCAGGCTGAGTGGATTCTCATCGAGGCCTGTCATCTTCTTGGCGGCGTCTTCTGGAAGTCGGACTTGGAACAAGGCGTCGCTGAACTGACGAAAACTCCCAGGCGGCAGCAGTGTGGTCATGGCTGAAACAGGTATCTCTGCACCTGTTGAGGGTGTACTCCACGAGAGATGGGCTTTGGGAACTCCGGATAAGAACGTGGCCAAGTCCTGACAATGGCCACATGACAAGAGAGTTTGGATGCCCTCATGGACGTGGACTGTTAAGCAGGCAAGACGCAGAACCGGCTGCAGTGATGTTGTAAACAGCAAGGTGGAACATCGGACCCGTCCGCTGTAAAACACATCATTCGGCTTTCAGGTGACAGGCTACTCCGGAATGTTGAAGCGTCCAGGTGTGTTGGTATCACCGTGATGTCCCGCACCGTATCAGTATCATCAGGAGGTTGAAGGTTGGTACGTAGGACGAACAGTATTGACAGGCTTGAGGGCCTGTCACTCGGTATCATCCACGCGTCGGCATCCTTTGTTGTTCATTGGGAACGGTGGTGTGGACGTTCTGTCCGGGCTGTAAAAAGACGTTTTGACCTGAGATGGAAGCTTCTTGGTGGACCTGCAACACTTGGCGAAGTGTCCTTGCTTTGTACCAAGCATTGCATGGACCTTGTTGGCAGGACATCGGTATGCCAAGGCCAATAACGCCTTAAAACCCGTAGTTTCGACATGCACTATCACCGCGGCACTTTCTGGACCATGCTGGCGCGGCAATTTCTGCAGTCAGAAAATTGGTGACTGTGGCGGGGACTGTGGAAGAGCCGTCTGCATCTGGCGTTGATTCCTCTTGTAGGTGGAACGGCGTGAACTTGAATGGCGATGAGTGTTAGCTGAGCAGCCCTCTTGTGGCCTCCATACGACCTGCAACAGGTGACGAAAGTCGGTGAGGAAAGCGTCGGTGAGGTTTCTGAAGCAGGTCCTCGCATCACACCATCCAACAAGATCATCTCAAGCTGGATCTCGCACAGGTTACAGGATCGCCTGTACATAAGTTCACCTCGCTGCTGGGTCCTTAAGTCGTGCATAAGTCTGAATGATTCCCCCGGCTTGTTTGCAGGATAGCAGTTCCTACGACCGCAAGCTTCATTGCGAGGCCACAGAAATTTCTGCAAGGCGTTTTAAACCTCTGTCACTGACCTGATCGGGGGATGGCTAGCGTGTCTATCGAGGAGGCGTTGAACATCGAAAATACGATCTTAATTGGATGAGTTGTTTATGAGGGCATTCGGTAGTCAGGAACATAACAGCAAAGTCTTCGGCGACGTCGCCATTGACGGCCGACTTGATATGTTGCATCAGGTGGTGGGGGACTGGGAACTGGACTTGCTGTGCAGGGTGTACTCGAGACGGCAGGCAATGGAGGAGACGCAGGTCGACGAGTTGAGACTGCAGCAGGTGGTTGAAAAGCACTGAGAGGCATACCCAAGAATAGGTGACGTGTGAGACGCTGTCTGAAGGATAGATAAAGACTGAAGCTTGAAGTATTTGTGGCGCTTTGGAAGTCATCCTCATTGCCACTGGTATCAAGTCCATTTGCGGTTATCCTTTTAATTATTGTTGTGTTGGCTGTGCTTATTCCTATCTACTGTCTTATTCCCTCTTGATGTCGTTTTCCTCCTCTTAGCGTCTTTGGGCTTCCTTCTCTTGGCTTTGTAGAAGTGGATTAACAGCGTATATCCTGGGTCCCATCTTTAATTGTGCCCGGCGTCCCGAGGCGTGAGGTGGGGTCTCCGTGAGCTTCGTCTTCCTCACCAATCCCCATATAAATTTCGCAGCAAATCGTCGTGGTCGAAACATCTCGTGTTTTGGATATGGTTGCGATAAAAAACAAGAATAAGGTAGTGCTATGTTTTCGTCATGTACTTGCAGGCTTGGCGACAAATAAAAAGTACCCACTTCTTGTATTTGTGTGAAGCGGCCGGCTGGCGGCGATGGTGCTGGTCCTGTATTTCCCTCGCGCGCCCGGGCGAGCTGGTGGTGACTCGGTGTGAGGCAGTCGGTGGCCTGCGGGCCGGCAGATGGAGATGTATGCCGGAAGTGCTGTCTTAAACTGGGCTGAAAGCGTTTCTGCTACCTGTAGGGCCGCAGCATAGAAAAACATCAAAACACTGCACTTCACTAGGCCGCCTACAAGATACCAAAGCACTTAATCCAGGCACTGTGGTATATCTTCTGGGCGGGAAACAGAAGGCCGAGAAACAAGCCGAGGCGGCTCTTGCAACATCCCAACTGTCGTGTTGGAGCTACTCCTTTCAGCCATGTGGTGTGATGAAATCTGAACAAGGTTCTTCAAACTCCAGAACACGAACGTAGATATATTCAATAAATAGTGGTACAAGACTTGGTGGGATAGCCGACCGATACAAGCAGGCCAAAGGGCCGGACCTGTGGTGGGCCGAACCGATCTGGTTAGCTGGCTGGCGGAGTTGCTGAACATTACTGGGACAATAAATGAGGTCTGCTAATTACTCGACTAGCGCGGTACCAGACATGTATCAGGACGTATTAAGTGAACATAGGCATTACACAAAGCATAGATATCCGGACATGCTATAATAATATGTAGTAATACAGACATGTGAATAAATGGTACAATGAATGGTAACAGAGTCCTGCCGTCAGGCGTGTTCACATATCTTGGTACCCACATATCTATACACCCACCTCTACCTCCCAGCTTCCCTCACCACCTCTACCTCCCATCTTCCCTCCCCACCTCTACCTCCCATCTTCCCTCCCCAACTTCCCACCCCACCTCTACCTCCCATCTTCCCTCCCCACCTCTACCTCCCATCTTCCCTCACCACCTCTACCTCCCATCTTCCCTCCCCATCTTCCCACCCCACCTCTACCTCCCATCTTCCCTCCCCCCTCTACCTCCCATCTTCCCTCCCCACCTCTACCTCCCATCTTCCCTCCCCCATCTTCCCACCCACCTCTACCCCGCTGTGATATGAGTAGATGAACCGAAGGCGGCGAAAGCTCGGTTTCAAGCGAGGCACAGCGCATGAGAAATTGCAGTGAAAACCGCCAGAAAGCGTGTGTTCACATATCTATACAGCTGGATTCCTTGTAAGACCAGGAATATTTTGAATATAAATGTCATATATTTTGCACAAAAGATGACATATTTACTCAGAGTAAACATTATATCTAAAATTTGTATGTCTAATGCAAAATCTATGATGTTTATATTCAAAATGATCATCAAATTGTAAGAATTCGAGCAATGTAAATTATATTCTGGCCGGGTAATTTGTATGAATTTTATGAGCTAAAAAAAAAAAAAAAATTATACTTCACCGCGTATATGAGTAGATGAACCGCGTTAAGTGAAAGTTCGGTTCTGGCGAGGCACAGCGTGTATGAGAAATCGCGTTAAGTGAAACCGCGTAAAGCGGTGTAATACTGTATATATAAAAGATACCAAATTAATGTTTGAGTGTCACTTACAATGTGATGGTCCCAATTAGACACTATTCCTATTAATTCTTATGGGAATTAATTCCCCTTAATAAAGTGGTTTCATTATCAGTGGCTTTTTCCTGGTCCCTATTAACCACTTATAACGAGGACCCACTGTATATAACAAATTATCGGCTGAAACTCCACCAATATCGATACTCCAAAAAAGGCCAGTACCACCGATGGCGATACATTGGTACATCTACCCTTGTGTATGAGGTTGCCTTTGAACTGAAAATAATTGTGTGGAGTTAGCTAAATAAAATATTCAAAGTGGTGTTCCTATAGTGAAGTGTTTAATGATCAGGGTAATAGGGCCTGTAGTGAATAGAAGGTTGCAAACATTCTAAAATGTAAGTGGAAGATTATGTAAGGGAAGGTTACATGTGTGGGAGGCATAATTAGTCATGGTAAGATGGTATAGAACAAGCTGTTATCTTGCTCTTCTCTCAGTAGTCATTTCCACGGTTAAAAGTATCTGAAATCAGTAAGATTTATGGAAAGTTAGATATATTATTAATATCTCATAAGCTATTAATAAAATTGTTTTTTATTATAGGGGGCGCTGCAGCTGTGATGGCTGACCAACCGGCGTCTGACAAAGTTTCCGGCAAAGTTGATGGAAAAAGCAAGGAACCGCAAAAGTTCCTCTACTTGCAGTTACAGCAGGACAGAGTGAGTGTGTTTAGCTAAGTACAGTAAAGCCTTGAATAACAACGGTAATGTGTCCTCCAATATTGCATTGTAAGGCGAGTCATTAATTTCCATTAAAATAAAGCAATAATAATGAGATACATTTCAAAGTCTGACCATTTCAAAACTTTTGTGTGGCTTTTTACCCTAGTTTCCCCTAAAACAATACAATTAATGAAAAATTTAAACTATATTCTTTAAATAATGTTTATGAATACAATTTTAATCAATAATACAGTGACCCCTCCGTTAACGAACTCAATCCGTTCCAGAAGGTCGTTCGTTAACCGAAACCATTGTTTCAATGGGTTTTTGGGTAATTGGTTCCAGCTCACCGAAAATTTCCTAAATTCAACAAAAATGGTAAAAAAGTTCACTTACTTTGAGGTGTGTATGTAGAAGCTCCTGGACGATGATGATGATGATGGGATTTAGAATAGGGGTGGAGGAGAAGGAAGAAGAGAAGGCATTGGGGTGGAAGAGAAGTCACCCCATGGCGCCATTTCACCCATAAAATTTTAGCTCTCTTGGTGTAATTCAAGATTATTTTCTTTAAATCAACACTGCACTGCATTATATATTGTCAATATGTATAATATATTTCAAAATGACCAATAATTTGCTTGGAAACACAGAAAAAAAGCGTTTAGTTGAAGAAAGTCTCAAGCAAGATGTTACCTCCAGTGAAAACAGAGAGAGACTAACTCCTGTTTGCTGTGTTAAGAGGCTGGATGCCGCGCATTAAACTAGTCACTTTACCTTCAATTATGTTCAATAATTGTTAAAATGACTAAAAAATTGAATATTAAACTTTTAAAATTATTGAATAGTATAAACTTCTTGATATTTACTAAAATAGTAAGGAATTTAAGCCCTAGAACCGATTAATGTATTGGCGGACTGATACTAGAGCTGGTTGCCCGGTCAGTGCAAGCGAAAACATGTTGAGGTCGGTTCGTAAGAACTTCGTTAACCGAATTGAAGATCCTTATGGAAGGCAGTTCGTTAATCGAAATTACGTTAACCGAGGTGTTCGTTAAACGAGGGGTCACTGTAATGAGATTACACAAGAGGAGTTGGGACGCCATTGTTGTTGTCGGGTTTACACCCATAATGTCAGTTATCCATCTGAAACAAGAAAATATGACCCTGGTTGTTGTTACAGTAAAATTAATGTAAAAAAATATGTATGTTTTAATGTTATTTAATATACAGTAAAAGTAACCACTGATATTAAAGAAAAAAGAGAGTGATAGTGGAACGGCAATGTATACTTGCACCCTCAAGGAAACCCCATCATTTATCTGAAGAATATGTACAAAAGATTCATTATTGTTTATTACTGAATATGTATTTGATTGAATTTATGTTTATGTATGTGAAATGAACAATGCAATTCATTAAGAATAAGTAGAATATTAAAACACACAAGAGGAGACGAGACGGCATTGTTTTCGTTCATGTTTACAACACCCGTGACGAATGACGATGGTTTTACATAAGAAACTGAAGAAATAATACCCTGGTTATTACTGTAGTACAATTAATGTAAAAAAATGAGTATGTATGTATTAAGTAATGTTATTTAATGCTAATAAATGGAACAATAGAAGTAGCTAACCACTAAAATCAAAGAAAAAACAAAATAGATTGGGAATGCCATCGTATGTAAGTGCCTATACAGTCATCCCTTGGTTATCACGCCTAATTGGGACCGCGCCGAGTGCGTGGTAACGAAAAACACGATAATGAAAGTACAGAACCTATGGGATTTATTCTAATTGGTTCCAGGCACCCAAGACCCAACCCAAATATTCCCATTTAACGAACATTTAGACCAACTAAAGATATAGATAATGTTATGGTAACTATCAGAATCACATATAGGCATGGCTAGGTTTATTACAAAGTGATGAAAAGGGTACAATAAGGTCAAGAGGGAAGGGATTCCGAGGCTAGAGGGTAGAGAGTTAAAGGTTCCCACCTAGAACTAAGTCTTCGAGTAACTCATCATCCTCTTGAAAACCCTCAAAGTCAGCTTGAGGTATTACAGGTGGCTGAGGTGGCTGTTGATGTTGATGAAAGAAGTCCGTAATTTGTCTCTGCCGCAATGCGTTGTGGTTTAGTTGGTCAACATAAGGCTGGAGTGCTCTGCCTATGATACCGGACACACTTTCACTGTTGCCAGCCGGGGGAGGGTGTTGTTCGATGAGGTGTTTCAACCATTCACTCAACTCAATAATCTCCCTGACTTTTGACATGGGCTGTGCTGCAGGTTGTGCTTCTGGGCTGTCTTCTCTGTTCCATCTGTCTTCCTCTGCCTGCCTGTCTTCCTCCATAATATCCTCAGCTGTAGGCATAACAGGTTCCAACATAGCCCGTATGTCGTCCTCTGTCGTCTCGCCGAACCCTCGTCCTGCCACATGCCTTGCCTCCTCTGCCGACAACTCAACCTCTGCCTGGACAGACTGCGGTTCCCCTGGCACTTCCTGTTGTCGGTCCTCGGGCAAACCCTCTTATTCATTTCTCCAGGCGTGGTTTACGGTCGCTGGCATCACTGCATCCCAACACACAACCATTAAGTCGATCGCTTCCTTGACGTTAAATGCCCGCCAGTACTGCTTGACTTGCTGCTCCGCCTCTGTTTCTACGCCCCCTCCTCCCTCCTCCTCCTCGTGGTCCTCCTCTTCCTCACTGTCGACCAGCATCTGCACAGCATTTTCGTCCTCCCTTGCAAAGCGCATCCTCCTGAATTGTTTACTGAAGTGAGCAGCCTTGACACGAGAGATTATTTCCATGTCCATCGGTTGGATGAGAGATGTCGTATTAGGGGGTAGAAATTCCACTCGTATGTTCGGATGTGCTGATCGTAGTAGAGAAGAATGGCCGGGAGCGTTATCTAGCAACAAGAGAATGTTGAAGCAGATGTTTTGTGCCTCACAAAAGGCCCGGACCTCGGGAACGAAGAAGTTGTTAAACCAATCCAGTGACAGCTTCCCCGACATCCAGGCCTTCTTGCTTGTAAGCCAGTTCACATTAAGCCTCGTCATATCTTGTCGTTTGTAGGCTCTGGGCTTCTTTGCTCGATGGATAACTCTCGGTTTCATCCTGCATGATCCCGTAGCATTAGTGGTGAACAAGACGGTGAAACGCTCCTTAATTGGCTTCCTGCCGCATACCTTGGCTGATGACTTGGTGATGAATGTCCTCTTAGGCATGACCTTCCAATTGAACCCCGTCTCATCTATATTAAAGATTTGGTCCTGGTTGAACTGGCCCGTTGCGATGATGTCCCGTAGGATTTGAGGATATACCCTGGCACTGGCTCGGTCGCCACTTGCAGCCTCACCCGAAATCTTCACATTCCTCACTTGGTGTCGTGACTTGAAGTTCTCGATCCAACCTTTAGAAGCGTTGAATGCAGGTGGGCTTGCCACTTCCCACTTCCTAGCGAGCTTCTGGTAAAGTTGTTTGGCGGTATCCATCAAATCTCTGGTCTCGACGGCCATGTTTCTTCTTCCTTGCTTCTGAACATACCGTACCAAAAGTTGATCAGTCTTCGTCAGCAACTGATTAGGACTCCTGCGGGCTTGGGCTAATGCGTTGGTTTGGGCTAGTTCCATGTGTTTGACAATATGATCCTTCATCTTGTATATCCCCCTAATTGTGGACTCATTGATGCATTAAGTGAGGGCCACTGCTCGCTTCTTTTTCCCGCCATCAATTTGCTTCACCACCTCCAATTTCTCGGCGTACGTCAGCATCTTCCTCTTCTTTATTTGCCTCTGAGTGGCAGGTCCAGGTACGGGGGCTCTTGGTGGGGGCATGTTGGCAGTGGCCTCAGCCATCACAGACAACAATAGGGTACACACAAAAAAGAGTAATCCTTGGTTCCCGCGCACAAGCCACGGTTATCACGACTGCAGGGAGCCGGGGTAGAGGGACGCTTTCCGAAACTCCCCTTCTACCCCAACTGTGGTGGTCCGGGCCAATAAAAAACGAGCTTTGATGGCTGAAAAGTTCAGGCCAATGATGTCGAGGGCTGATGCGCAGTTCGATGCGCGAGCGAGGCATGTGTGGGTGCTTGTGTTTGTACAACTGCTTTCAAGTTTTGTTACCTCCGTCCATTTTCATCCAGCAAATGTGTTATTGTCAATTTGTAGGTGAAAGATTTTATCCTCAATAGATGTAGGTGAAGCAAGGGGGTAACAATACACCTGGAGGCAACTGTGTGATAACTAAATTCTCGGCTTAAAAAATGTGCTACAACAGCAGGTGTGCAGATTTTGATGGAGGCGTGATAACGAAAATCGCGATAACCACGTGAGCTATAACCGAGGGATGACTGTATGTGAAAACATCGTCATTTCTCTACCTAAGAATATGAAAGCAACACTTATTACTGTTCATATATGTTTTAAATAATACTTACGAATGTAAAACAAAAATTCTACTCACAAATGGTGGTAAAATCTAAAACATAAGGACAGCCAATGAATATTGTGCGAGTTTTTACTCAGATGATTTCGTCAGTCTCGTCAATCAGGTTCAATTCTGGCTGAAGCTTTAAAATTTCCATAAAGAAATCATAGCTGTTGCTGAAACTGTTACTGGGTTCTGGAAGCTAAGAAGCCTCTCTAAGAAACATTCCTAAAACAGAGTAAAGATCATCTTAGGCCCATGTAACTAAGATGTCAGCACACTGGACACAGGTGCCCGAGCGGGAAACATAAACAGAGTTGTCACTTGTTGTTTGTGGGAATATTATTTCATTCACTCTAGTAATGATACAAAGTTTCTTATTATGTTATCAAAGGTAAATGCACAGTTTATATAATTTGTTTATCACTGTGTCCATCACTGTTTTCAAATTAGACTACAAGATATGTACTGTATTTCTCCGATATGTATTTTGATCATATGCCTGGTAATGGGAGCCAGTGAGTGACCACAAGTTAGACCAGGGGTTCCCAAGCTTTTTC